TACAAATGGATGTCCAAAGTGACCCAGATTGACTTATGCCATTCAGACTTTTGGCACACAGTTTCAAAATTCATCAGTTATGACTGTGCCAGCACTTTAACAAAAACTCACATGCGTACAATTTTCCACTTCTTCCATAGATTACCTGCAGGAGTAAACGCTGACGGGCTCGCGCTAATATTGTAAAAGCATCTTGCATTCCCACATTGCAAAGCATTTACAAAACAGAAGGAAACTGATTGCCAACTGATTCGGTAGGATTTCAGCAGCACTTATGTCAGTAAACTGGAAAGCGATATCGTCTGCACGCATGAGGTAGGAAAGTTTGCGTTCACTTAGTAGGTAGATGGTACGCTGATAAACAATCTCCCAAGACAGCTGCAACACTGAGTGAGGACTTCGAAAAGTAGCTTAGCTGGCCCACTACCCCAGCATCCTCATTTTCAATGTATCACGTTCCATGGTCAGTTAACACTGACCTAACTGAGGAAGTGAAGCTTCATAAGGAACTCCAAGTTCTGAAACGCCACAAGGCATCCAGCCAACTTACACCTGGTTCTTTTTGGGGATAGAGGAATGACTCTAATCAGGGAAATGACTGGATTGTTTGAGAAGTTATGGCACACTAAGAGTGCTCCATCACTCTGGACTGAGGCCATCATTGAACTGATCTTTAAAGTGTCTGAGTAACGTATGAGATAATCATCAGGGTATTAGTCCGTTACCAGTCGTGTCAAAAATATTAACTACTACCACACTTCGCAGACGTTCCAAAAAGTGTAATAAAATGATTCGCGAGTACCAGGCCGGGTTTCGTTCTGGTTGTGGATGCATTGTGTTTGAACATCGCCACACCTACTAGAGGACAACAATCACAGTGTTTCTTGACTTACAACTGCAATCGATTCGTTGAACAGCAGTATTTGGGAATTGTCTGTTAAAGAGAGGCATGCCCGAAAAGTTTAATAACATCCTGAAGACCCTAAATGGTAAGAACTCTGGTAGAGTGAAGACATAACCACCTATCTCCTTTGTTACAAACCGGAAGGGGGTAGGCAGAATTGACCAATTTCTCCATTCTTCTTAAACTTTGTCATCGATGACATTCTTGAGACAGCTCTGAAGAAGGTACTTGGTGGTCATGTAGATCTACTACTTGAAGAAAGGCTATTCGACCTTGAATATGAGGACGATACTGTCTTACTGTGAGACAGCACACACACTAATCAAATCACACTTAACCAGTTGGTGACTGGTGTCCGTGAGTAGGTCATGTGCTTTGCACCATCGAAGTGCAAAGTACTTTTGCAAGGTTGTCAGCAGCCTGTACCTGGCTCACTCTCGATAGTGAGCTGTTGGAAGCAGTGGAAAAGTTTGCATATCTGGATACTTGTGTGAAAGGTGAAATTTCCGACCGTATGTGGAAAGCCAGAGTGGCATACGCCAATCTGAACTAGCTTTCCCGTTGTCCTGCAGTTACTGTGGCCGTAAAAGGTCAGGTTTACAACGCTTCGGTGCTAGCAGTTCTGCTCTACGTCTGTGAAACCTAACCCGAGATGAGGATGTGCTACGACTCTTTATGTCCCCTCACCGATGTCTCCGTAGGATTGCTCATATCTGTTGACAACACCCGGTAAATAATTTTGAGGTATGACAGCGTGTACTTGGGTATGATGGAGATCGTTATTCAGTAAGTGAAGTCAACTGGAAACAACGACTTCGGAGGACTGAACATACGTCAGACAAATCCTCCCAACAGCTTTCATACCGCTCACTGTTTCCTGACCCACGGATAGGATAAAAGAAGCGGAGAGGTGGTCGGTGTATGATGTGGCACAGTGGGATGAAAAATATCTGCATTTGGTTAACATTCGTTGGTGCATTACAACTACTTGGGTGAGGTCCCAGATATCACGGAACTCAGTGAGTTGAGATGCTATCAGATATGGCTCAGAATCGAAACCAGTGGCGGTCATGACATAGCTTCCTTCTATATTCAGCTGCCGGATATTATTGAAAGTTATGTTTTGAATGTATCATACTGAACTACATTTCTAATCATTATTTTCTAACTGAAAATTTATTTTATCCACTTCCCGTAGTTTAATGTCTTTATCACTGTTGTTACATAAATTTCCCTGGCGTTCTTAGTGCTGTTCTTGTGCCAGGTTTGAGTTTCCATAAAGATAATAATCAATGACACACGAAGTTTTCAAAAACGGAAATAGGAAACTTTGGAATACAAGTCAAGTAGTGGGTGTCATTGGAATAAAAGAGAGGAAGCCAGCAGAAAACGATAGTCAGTGAAACGGCCACTGAGAAGGATGCAACGCTAATAACCTCTCAGGAGAGACGGCTAGAACATTAGGGGGAACACTAAGACACAGTTTAACTCCTACACAGCAGCGCTTCACTCTCCCAACATCCAACCTTGAACTAAATAGGATGCTAATATCAATCCTCCAAACCAACTTCAAGGTAAGACGACTGTATCAAACATACAACGATGACCTATCAACATGACTCGACAAATTGCCAACCGACATTTTCAAGAATAGATGTAAGCAACCGCTCAATACAGCAACACAGGTACTAGGGGGTTTAAGCGAATCAGAAGCAGTGCCGTTAAATTGACCTACTTCATCAATCATAAAAGTCTGCAAGGAGGAGGACAAACCTTCTTCTGACAGCTATACAGGAATCACTTCAATCCATATAGCATACCAGATCCTTGGGTAGCTAGTCATCCAACGACTATTTGGAGCTCGAGACAGGCAAACTCGAGAAAACCAGACACGTATTGGACCTGGACGAGGATATATCGATCTGATTGTCACCCTTCCACGCGTTATGGAACACAGAAATACTTACCGGTGACTGACACCTAGCATATTTCTTGATCTGGAGGTGGCGTTTCACTCTGTCGACCGACAGGCGTTGTGTGGTAGCAGTGTCTGACTTTGGAAAGTGTGTCGATCAAGTGTACAATGCCTGTCGAAACTCTCTACTCGAAATCACGTTGTTGTGTAACGCCTTATGGACGTCTATCATGTGGATTGTCGACAACTAGTTTTGTCCATCAGGGATGCGCACTGTCAACGCTCCTATTTTACTTCGTTACAGAAGTTTTAATGAACATAACCCTGGGTAGCTCTGTACTCACAGGGATTGATATACTCCCTGGGGGTAATCTGGTTGACTTGGAGTACGCAGACGACACTCTCCAACTAGATGTGGACGCTGACAAAATTCGAGGTCTTCTGAACGTGTTCAGTAGAAATCTGAGTATGTTTGGCACGTGTTTCTCTAGCACCTGTCAAGTGTGAGATGAAGCTCCAGGACTGGTTTGCAATCACTCACTCCGAGTTTATGGAAATATAGAGAGTGAAGTGATGGAATGTGTCGACCACTTCACTTACTTAGGGATTTGCATCAGCCTGAACGCGCCAGTTGCTGACAAGATCTCAGCTCGCATACAGAATGCCTGTTTGGCACCTGCAATCTTGCATCACCCCTTGCGCCTACGGTGAGATATCCAATTACCTGTTTAAATACGAATACACAGCGGGCTGCTGTCCGCTCCGTCCTATTATTTGGCTGTGAGACATGGCTATTGAGAGTAGAAGACATGAAACTGTCACACGTTTTTGATCACACATGCCTTGTTAGCATTGCTCACGTTCAGCGGAATCACCGTGTGAGCAATGTTGAGGTCAGATGGAGGATACTAGGCAAGATGGGCAAGTCGATTGATGAGGTTGTGAACCGTAGTCGTCTGAGATAGCTGGGACGTGTACTGTTCATGCCGATCCACCACCTATCTCGACGTGTCAGGTTAGGGGAAGCTGGATTATGTAGGGAGAGGGTTCAGGTAGGCCAGATGAAGACGTGGTACTAGTCCATGAAGTCCCCGACTGCTGGTCTGATACGTGTGGGAAGATTTAGGCTGTCTGTCTGATTGAGGTCCGCGAAATTATAGGAACCATTGGTTTAGGACTCTTGGTGGAATGGTTGAAAATCGGTGAGGACGGTGCAGATGTATTCACTCTTTGACGTCTGATAAAGCTTGAACATTGCACTCACTGTTATCTTCAAATTGTTTATTTTCTCACATAACATTGTGTGCGTTGTATGTTAGTGTTTTTCTATCCACTTATTCTTTGCATGCCCCTTTGAAGTTTGTGGCAACTTCAGGCTTTGCGATTATCGGAGGTATTCGTCGTACTTTTTTTCGTCTTTCTTCTTGATTTTATTTTTATTTTATGCATATCTTTGGGAATCCTGTATTTCGGGGTGTGTAGTTTTCATGCATATTTGATAACATTTATTTTGTGTTTGGATGTATCTCATTCGCCCGTATGCAGATGCATGAAATTTTCATTACGCTGACCATCATGCTACCTCTTCAATGCTTGAATTATCATCATAATGAACTATACGCCGACGTTTGTAGACTGATTATTTATTTAGGTTTATGCAACTGATGGAAATCCTGCTTAATTTTATTTCGGAAGCATTGTTGTTTTCGCTTTATTCGAAATCTTCATATGCTTCATAACCCGAAGAATTATATTTTATAAGAACAATCTATTAACGTGAAAACATGTGGAATCACTTCACTCATTATAGCAAGACTCAAACAAGATTCAGTTTAATACACCATTGGAGTAACATATTCTTATAACAAGCATAAGTGAAAGCCCTGTATGTAAATGGGTACCTAGCTAGGGCAGCTTACTTCAGTACCTTTCTCATGCAAGATTTCCTGAGCTGCATAAACATGCAAGAGAAACAACAATACAGTCTATGATAACATATATGCACAAAATTAATGTAAACGATGTGTACTTCAGTTGTTTTTTCATCACTCATTTTCCTATTTGTAAAAAAAAGTAAGAACATAGATCATAGATGCGAAAAAAAACGAATGGAAATTTAAGCAAAATATCAACGGATACACGCTAATTGGAAATTACACTTCAACTACTAATATTAATGAGTTAGTTCGCAGTTGCATTGTTATTGTCATTATTATCATTTTCGGGATTGGCATTCTGTCCAGCGACATTGGAATGAAATGTTTGACGTAGATGGTTTACAAGTTGCGGATTAGATGCTTGCAGTTGTTGAGCTAGTTGTTGACCACTAAAAATGAAGAAATAATACAACATAAATAATAGTAGGAAAACAGTAAACTTATTAGACCAATCAGTTACCAAAAACTAACAATTGTTAGACTTTGTAGATCTAGGTGCTAACTGAATTATATGGGTTATTTCGTAATGCTATCAGTAGACGAAGACTCAGGCCACCACAGTGCTACGTTTAATGTTTAGTGGCAAAACGGAGCCAAAACGTAGCGCTGGACTCATGTTTTATGATTGTTGATACTCGTCAAAAGGGCGTATTTATAGCGCCATCATGGTTTAGTCATCGCTGTAGTCAGAGGTGTGTCGCTAAGCTATTCAGCCTGGACAGAATACAACTGGATGAGGAGCGTTTAAAACTTCAGTGATATTTAACCTCTTCAGGATACAGACATAGGTGGTAGTTTAATGAGTGATAGTAAGCACGAAACTGTGGTGTTCGGTTTCCCGCTAACCGCCTTTAACCAACTAAGAATGAATTTGAATCTCGATTAAAATCAGTAAGTATTTGAATAACTCGGCTATAAATTATTATTATTAGTCCCTTGGGTTCCTAATGGAACATACGGCTTCACTAGCACGTCTCCAGTGAACTCTGTTCTCTGAAATCTTTTGAACCTGGCTCCAAGACAGCCCACAAGCTCTCATTTCCTCCTCACACGATATCCTCCATGTCACCCTAGGCACCGACGCCCAAATCGTCGCTTCCCATGCGGATTCCACTCGAGCAACTGGCCTGACGCGTGGTGTCCCCAGTCGGCCTTCTCAGTGCATGCCCAATCCATCTCCACTTCCTTCCAATGCATATTTGTTCAGCGATAGCTTCTTGGTTGGTTCGTTATCAGGCCAGAGCTCCTTGTTGCTTATTCTTTCTGGCCATCTGGTCTTCAGTAGCGAGCCAGCGTAGGCAGTTGTTGATGAATGTCTGTAGTTTATTGGAAATCCCTTTCGTAACGCGCCAAGTCTCTGAACCATACAGAAGCACTGACTTGACTGAAGTTGGTGTTGAAAATCCGGATCTTGATCCACATGCTGAGTGGAGTGCAGAAGATCTCCACACTGGTTTCAGGCTAATAAACGCCTGTCTTGCTTTTCCGATTCTGACTTTGACGTCCTCGTCCGTCCCGCCTGTAGTTGAAACAGTGCTGCCTAGATAGATGAAGGAGGCCACTTCCTTTAAGTTTCTCCCGTTGATGGTGATTGGAGTTTGTTGTTGTTGTTGTTGTTGTTGGTGGTGGTGGTGGTGTTGGTGCGGTATCTTCATCACCTCTGTCTTCTCTATATTCACTTGAAGTCCCGTCTTCGCTTCCTACCTCTTCTGCCAACTTGTTAGTTTTCGCCTGTAGATCATCAAGTTTGTGTGACATCAGACACAAGTCACCGCTGGCGAAATCCAGATCTTCTAGGTTCTTTTCCGCAGTCCAGCGTATCCCCCTCTTCTCACAGCTCCCCACTGTTTGCTGCATGATTCAATCGACCACAATCAGGAATATCATGGGGGATAGTAGGCAACCTTGTTTCACTCCTGTCTTCACTTCAAAAGCATCACTGAGCTTCTAATTATAAAGTGACAACTCATACAACCGTGCTACCGGAGTCTAAGCAGGTATATTGTGAAACGCGTAACAGTAAGAATAAATATGAAGAGGCGGATTATAATGTTAGGTTATAGATTATAGGTGTCTGGACAAATTTAATTGTTTCTCAGATATCGACCAAATAGTAAAACTGATGACTCTCGACATTTGGAGTATATTTGCCTACAAACCCACAGCTTTTCATAGGGCCCATAGAAACAATTAACAAAATCATTGATTGAATGATACGCTATGATCTAAACAACCCTTTGTGTCACTTCCAAACTTTACAAACATTTTACAGGCCAACACGTTATTTTGACACAAACTCGGTACAACTTTGATATCAAGAAATGGACCGTATTACCGTTTGACTGGTACGAGATCAATGAAGCCTTTTATTTCCTTCAGTACTTCAAATTATTATAGTCTACTGATAGACCTTTAAAACTTACTTGATAACTCATCCTACAATAAATGTATATCACATAAATATGAAGTTTTCACACTATATTTTCATATACTTAAAGTAGCAAGTGCACATTTCTAGGCTGCATGTGTATGTGTGTGGCGTGTTCATAAAGTGTTATATTGTTTTTGGTGAGTCAAATGCTTCAACCGTTAGTGTTTTTTGCACCAACACAGACAAAGTGGGTTTACTAAAAGATTTAGTCTGATATACTAATCATCGAGGAGGCAATACATTTTTTCTATACTAAACCCTTTTTTAATGTCTTTGAGAAGAGTGATTCTATCTTCCTAAGGATTTTGAAAATGATAAAAATTCAGTAAGAATGACTAGTTTAGTGAAAATATAGTGTTATCTCAGTTTCAATGTATCAATTAAAGGCCATTTGATGCAAACTGCCTACTAATAGTTTTGCAGCTTTATTAAGGTTAACTTCTTTTATCGACAACAGGTCAAATGTCTTAATAAAAAGCACTGTCGTAAGTTATAGCAATCCCAGAGTGAACAACTTTGTCAGTATTTACTGCATTTACTGTCACATATTACGTATCTGGTGCAACAAAAAATGGTGGCGCCGAGTTGAACGCTGAGCCATATCATTTGTACAATTAAACAGAGGTTCTTTTTTCAATATGCAACTCTGTTCAGTATCAAAAAGTAAGAATAAAGTTTCATGTTCATCTAGTCAAATGCTCTTGTCTCAAGATATCTAAGCTGCTATCTTCTAAGTTTCATAAATAAAAACTAAGCATATTCAGCAGCTTTGTATAAGAAAAAGAAGTCAAGTTAGTAAATATTAGGAATATTAGGAATCGACCGATACATCAACTTCACAATAATAAACATTGCTTCAAGACAAAAGCATGATATCACCACATACATATACCGGAATAAATGCTAACAGTCAGCTACTTATGACTTATAAAATGAGAACGCTTTACATCTGGACGTAAAAATTAAATGCAAGTCACTAGGCATTTAAATGTTGGTGTTCTACACATTATAAGTGTTATTAGACTGTTTAAGAAGGTGGAATGCTGAATTGTCCGTCAAATTATTCGTATACCATTACAAGAATATTACATCAACAACGCTTAGATTCGACAGCCGAAAATGTGATTACGTTGCAACAATTCTCAATAACTTCTATATGAATAACACCCCTGTACCATGAATGCGAATCATAAAGGAGCCAGAAAATCAAAAGTAAGAAGTGGTAGTTAAAAGTCTCGATTTGATTAACCTACCCACATACGAGGTGAAATAATGTTAGCAAGATTTGAAAGCCGATATAAGAATCCGAAGTTCACTGATATTTTTTTTAAAGTTAATATGTTTAAATCACAAGGGACAGTCAACAAAGCAGTAGAATAAAATATTCTATCAAGCAATACAAGTATTTGGAGACTATACAAAATAATCAGGCTTTATTGTTGACCAGATAAAGATGCTTAAACAGTAATTTTGTACACCTGATAACCGATGATCAATTTTTTCCTCAGACTACCTAATCTATTTAGGTAGAGTAAAAATACTTAGATTAGGGTCGCTACTTGCCATACTTACATTCAGAAATGAAAGCTACACAAGTGGGTGGAACAGTATTTTTTTCAAAAAAAATAAATAAATGATTTGCGATTGAAATCTGTAAAAAACTGATCCTGAATACGGGACAAATGCTCTGGCTTGTTATTCATTTGCGATTTCGAAATGAAAAAGTAACTATTAAAGCCTACCATTATTTACGAATGAAGATGAAGAAGGAGAAGGATTAATGTGCACAGCTCTGCAACAAAGTGAACCCTCCGTTTTGTGTAAAGTAATAAAAAAGTCACCTTCACAACACACTATCTCCCCACTAAATGAAAGACCCTGTCAGTATAACTAACTTCTTCACAATAAAAAAGCGCCAGCTGCTAAGATTCGATCACTCACTATTTTAAGACTGATAATTATGAAAGTGAGAAATTATGTGGTTAACATAATAACATGTAGACAAAATACACCTCAGAGTAAATGATATGAATGGAACAAACCAAAAAATAAGAAAACACAATGAACAAACAGTATCTTACAGGCGCAGAAACTCATCCATATTTTGTTCACCACTGATATGATCAGACTGAGCATTAGGCTCAGTTGCTCCGTTGGAACAATTGTCAGAACAAGCATTACCAGCTGAATTATCCCTATTAGAACCATCGGGTGCACCAAATGTGTTGCGCAGTAAATTCCTCATCCTAGTATAGATTTAGAAACAGTGAAGAAAAACTCTATTCTATCACAGAAACAAACATCTCTATCCAAATTATAAAACACACCCTTATATATAAGTGTAGTGTATTAGCATGGATTGACTACCCGTGAACCACCTGTTATAATCGTTACACAGATACCCGGTTCACAAGCTGCTTAGGATCTAAAATATACAACCGATCGATGCTGAAAGGTAAGCAACTAGTTTACGACACTTCTTCAGCAAACAAATTTCAGTGGTGAGATATAAGTAGATTCTTACAGTTCGACAATCTAGTAGCTGAAATTTGCGGAATGAAATATGTACTATTTCTAGGACACATGCTTTACAGCCCCCAATTAGTCAGTAAACATTAATGGTATCTGGCATTCCTACGTAACTGTGCGCGTCATCACACCCCATATCAACACATCACGGTAGACGGTACCAAAATTAACGGAAAAATAGGGTATAAACTTATTAAAGAAGTAGAAAGTCGTAAAAACAGAACAAGAACTGAAACAATGATGCGATTTGCCATAAAGATAGAGATGAAGTATAGTTGTGTGTACCAATGACAATCAACCTCAAACATTTCACCTACAAGTTCAAAAGTGTCGGTTTCCACTGTCAAGCAGAAGTTTATGCTTGGTCATAAGGCTCAGTAAAAGTCAAAAATTAATGGATTTTTATGATTTAGTCAGACCAGTACACATAATACATCGTTAACCCCATGCCCCCAAAATGGCGAATGGACATACGTAAAACATGCAGCAGCATTCTGAGTGAAAAAAGGTTCACACGGACAAAAGCAATGCAGAATCTCGCACAGGAGTGCACCGGTTCAAGGTGGTAAACTCCACAGCATCATACAAACAACAAGTTGGTAGATAATGTCAGTTGATTGGTATGGAATATCGTAGTTGCCTACAGAATACCTTTCCGACCAACTCAGTCTCCCTATCTGAACGTTGAAGTCACTTTCAATAATAACTACGCGTGACTTTATGTAGCGCAGTTGACAACTTTTGGTAGAATTCATTATCTGGACCGATTAAAATGTAGATAGTGGGTACTCAGGTCAAATTAATAAATAGGCATCGATTCGTGTGATACACCTTTACCATTCTAAGAGATCCATTCAGCCAAACCTGATACCAGAAGGCTTTCGAATTTCTTCCATACTTAAGACGGGACGTATATCAAAAAGTTCATAAAAGACAGAAATATGTACGAAATCAATCCAGGACCTCCAACACAAGTACATCACTTCAAATTGCAATACCCTTCAAAGGAGCACGCAAAGAATAAGTGGATAGAAAAACACTAACATACAACGCACACAATGTTATGTGAGAAAATAAACAATTTGAAGATAACAGTGAATGCAATGTTCAAGCTTTATCAGACGTCAAAGAGTGAATACATCTGCACCGTCCTCACCGATTTTCAACCATTCCACCAAGAGTCCTAAACCAATGGTTCCTATAATTTCGCGGACCTCAATCAGACAGACAGCCTAAATCTTCCCACACGTATCAGACCAGCAGTCGGGGACTTCATGGACTAGTACCACGTCTTCATCTGGCCTACCTGAACCCTCTCCCTACATAATCCAGCTTCCCCTAACCTGACACGTCGAGATAGGTGGTGGATCGGCATGAACAGTACACGTCCCAGCTATCTCAGACGACTACGGTTCACACCTCATCAATCGACTTGCCCATCTTGCCTAGTATCCTCCATCTGACCTCAACATTGCTCACACGGTGATTCCGCTGAACGTGAGCAATGCTAACAAGGCATGTGTGATCAAAAACGTGTGACAGTTTCATGTCTTCTACTCTCAATAGCCATGTCTCACAGCCAAATAATAGGACGGAGCGGACAGCAGCCCGCTGTGTATTCGTATTTAAACAGGTAATTGGATATCTCACCCGTAGGCGCAAGGGGTGATGCAAGATTGCAGGTGCCAAACAGGCATTCTGTATGCGAGCTGAGATCTTGTCAGCAACTGGCGCGTTCAGGCTGATGCAAATCCCTAAGTAAGTGAAGTGGTCGACACATTCCATCACTTCACTCTCTATATTTCCATAAACTCGGAGTGAGTGATTGCAAACCAGTCCTGGAGCTTCATCTCACACTTGACAGGTGCTAGAGAAACACGTGCCAAACATACTCAGATTTCTACTGAACACGTTCAGAAGACCTCGAATTTTGTCAGCGTCCACATCTAGTTGGAGAGTGTCGTCTGCGTACTCCAAGTCAACCAGATTACCCCAGGGAGTATATCAATCCCTGTGAGTACAGAGCTACCCAGGGTTATGTTCATTAAAACTTCTGTAACGAAGTAAAATAGGAGCGTTGACAGTGCGCATCCCTGATGGACAAAACTAGTTGTCGACAATCCACATGATAGACGTCCATAAGGCGTTACACAACAACGTGATTTCGAGTAGAGAGTTTCGACAGGCATTGTACACTTGATCGACACACTTTCCAAAGTCAGACACTGCTACCACACAACGCCTGTCGGTCGACAGAGTGAAACGCCACCTCCAGATCAAGAAATATGCTAGGTGTCAGTCACCGGTAAGTATTTCTGTGTTCCATAACGCGTGGAAGGGTGACAATCAGATCGATATATCCTCGTCCAGGTCCAATACGTGTCTGGTTTTCTCGAGTTTGCCTGTCTCGAGCTCCAAATAGTCGTTGGATGACTACAGCCACTTACCGTTGTAATGTGAATTGCTACACTATGATGGTGACCTCATGGGTGAAGTCGTATTACAGCTGACTGAAGGGAGTGTGACAGCACGAAGGTGTTTCCGGAAGATGAAAGGCATTTCCACGTTGATGATTCCTTCCGTATGAGGAGTTAGGAAAGGTCAATCCCGAAAATACAACAATTTCCTCTGCTCTACCGTCTGCCTGTGCCGGTGATATGAGTTTCTCTCTCCGGCGTTAGAACAGCCAAATCTCGAAACAACAACGCGCAAAAGAGCTATGTGTAACTGATGTTCCATAGGCTGTGTAGTCACGCAAATCTCATCCTGAACCAGGTCCTTTGAGAAGAACTAGCCTTCACGGTGTGAGCAGCAGGGCGGTGGCAACCCGCACACCTTCTCAGTAGTACATAAGAACCAATCAAACATAATTTTATCCTATTCGACTCTGACTTCTCCCTTGCCTTCACCTCCTCATATTGAGTAGTGGGGTCATATCAACCTACCTAAGGAAGCAACATAAGGCATCATGGCTCGTTCTATAAATGGAGCTAAAGCTGTGGTCAGGGACCTGGCGATTTTATTTGGTGTATGATATACTCCATTTACTATAACTCTGAGCTAAGGTCACTGTTATGACAATCATTTCAAACAGCCTACCTGACGTATGTGGTAGTCATTGGAGTATCAGTCTGCTGCCATTAACATCTTTACAGGCTCTGCAAAACGCGCAGAGCTGATTCAAGCTTGAACCGAGTTCAATAAAATGTATAACTACAAACTGTACTGAAACGGACTTACATGTTTTGAGCATTCGGATCACTCATAAACTGACGAGCCATATTTAGCATCATTGGATTATTCAAGATAGAATTTAGATCAAAACCACTGAATGACCCTGTGCCTTGAGAACTATTAGGTGCATTCTTCAACTTTTCCTCTGCAATGGATAAGTTCTGTTGACAATTCTCGTTATTTGGATCCAGTTCTAGACCCTTCCGATAGCATTCGACAGCTTTGGCATGATTATTGATGCTTGAATATGCGATTCTAAAGGAGCAAATAAAACATTGAAGAACACTCATCACGAATTGCATTAAGTTGACAGCCTGAAGTATGAGATAAAAACCAGCTAATGATTTCAACGCCATACAAAAAAACCATTATTTAACCGTGGCATGATTGTCCTTCTCGTACAGGAGATAAATTAAACAGCACGACACATATTGGCAACTACGCACCCACTGTGAACACACTTATTGTTTGAAGGATGATGATAGTGACGGACTGTCAGCATCCAAACAATTAAAGCTGAGATTAAGCTTAAGTGTGATGCGTGAAAGAGAGCACCGAAATAATAAATGAAAATCTTTTCAAATTTGGAACACAGCTTGTGCGCTTGGAAACCATTTTCCTTTTGGTACGACATTCCTTAGCGTGCGGAGCAAGAGCAACTGTTGATGAAAAGCTGGATTTAAATGCATACCTAAACTCTGAAAATAGCACAGGGAAAGCAGCCAAGATAGGAACGTTCATAAAGTGTTAGAATAAGTGAATGATATCTTCACTAAAAAATCTTCATTTCGTAAGGTTACAAGTATAGCAAGTAAGTAAAAGAAAGTCACGTAGAGAGAAAAAAGAAATCAACTCAGAATCTCGTACAAAATTGCATCGGTCCACGTTGCCACATTTCACAGCACTATGCAAACAGGCAGATATAAAACATAATCAGAAGTTACACAAACATATGTAAGACGAAGAATTTAATAATGGAGGTCAGTGAATATATTCAAGGCTTCGAAGAGTATAAACAGTAGACACGTCTGCACTTTTGCGACCGATTTCCAGCCATGTCACTGATGTTCTCCAATCATTCATTCTTATCATCTGCAGGAACCCAACCAGACAGTCTACACCTCCCTACATGGTCTGGACCAATAGAATAGTCAGATACTTCATCCACAAGTGCCACATCTTGTTCTGACAACCCCTGGGTCTTCTTCCAATCCTAACCAACTTCGGTCAACATTTCACATCGAGGTAAGTGGTTGCTCGGTGTGCGCAACACATGTCCAATCCACATCAGTCACAGAAGTTTCACAGCCTTATCGACTGACTTGCTTAGTACATTTCGCCTAACCTCAGCATTGCTCATACGGTGATCCCACCATACGTGAGCAGTTTTGCGAGGACACCTGTAGTCAGAGACGAGAAATCTCCTCACACCTACTTTCAACGGTCTTGTCTAACATCCGTATAAAAAGACAGAGGAACTGCAGCGCAGTATACTTGTCCTTTAATAAGCAGTTGGATATGTCACCCGCACTAGAGATTACGCAAGCCAGCAAATGCGAAACGGACCCTTTACATTCGACCTGAGAATCTGTCAACAACTGACCCCTTTGGGTTGGTGAAACTAACCGGGTAAGTGAATACTGGGTCCCACTAATTCAGTCTATAAATTTAAAGTGGAAGTCGGTGCATACCAGTCTTGAAGTATGATTTTACATCTAAAAGGCGCAAACTGTAGGCCAAATTTACTCACATTTCTGCCTGAAACGTTCAGATAACTTCAATTCTAGTCTCTCTCCGCCTAATAGAATAGTGATGTCATTGCACACGAACCCAACCAAGTACCCTCCTAGGAGCAGTGTCCCAATGGGCCACGAGGTAAAACCCTCCTCCACTTCCAGAGTCTCCGCAGACAGCACCACTAACCACATAATAATAAGATAGGGCTCATCATATATATATATATATATATATATATATATATATATATATAAAATTTTTGCCCCTTGGGTTCCCAGTCGAACATAGGGCTTCACTAGCACATCTCCATTTCACTCTCTTCTCTGCAGTCTTCTCAACCTGGCGCCACGACTGCCCACAAGCTTTCATTTCTTCCTCACATAATCTCCTCCATATCACCCTCGCCTCGGACGCCCAACTCGTCATTTCCCATTTCCATTCCACTCGACTATCTGGCCTGGCGCATGATGTTCCCAATCCGTCTTCTTCTCAGTGTATGTCCAATCCAATGCATCTCCACTTCTTCTGCATAGTTTTTGGGCGGTGGGTACTTGGTTCGTTGGTTCGCTACCAGGACAGAGTGAGTTCCTTGTTGCTTATTCGTATCGTATTATTCTGGCCTTCTCATCGATCTTCAGTGTCAAGTATCGAGTGAGTGTAAGCCACAGCTGTTGATCAATGTCTGCAGTCTGTTGGAAATGCTTTTCGTAACGTGCCAAGTCTCTCAACCATCAAATTGAAGCAATGACTTGACTGAATTACTGTTGAAAATCCGGATCTTGTTCACTCACGCTTTATGCTGACTGCAGTGCAGTAGATCCCCACACTGATTACTTCAGGTGAATCAACGGCTGTCTTGCTGTCTCTCCGATCCCGGCTTTGATGTCCTCGTCTGTGCTACCGACTGTAGTTGGAACGATGCTATCCTGCCCAGGTGGGTGAAACAGACTACTTCCTTTAGGTTTCTCCCGTTCATGGTGATTGGTGCTTCTTGTCGTTGTTGTTGATACTGTTGTTGGATGGGTATCTTCATCATCTCTGTCTTCTCCACCTTCACCTGAAGGAAGTCCCATCGTCGCTGCTCCGCCTCGCCTCTTCTGACAACTTGTTAGTTTTCGAGATCTGTAGATCTTCGAGTTTGTGAGACAAGACATTAGACGTAAATCATCATCATCATCATCGGCGGCGGCGAAATCCAAATCTCCTTTCGGGCTCTTTTCATCGGTCCAGACAGCGTATGCCCATCTTCTTACAGCTCCTCACAGTTGTCTGTTGCATGATCCAGTCCATTCAAGTCCAGTGGACCACAATCAGGAGGATCATCGGAGATAGTAGGCGGCAATCTCGTCTTACTCCTGTCTTCATTTCAAAGGCGTCACTGAGCTTTCCATTGTGAATCACTTAGCATGTGGCGTCGTCATATAGCATATACCTGGTGTTCAGTGAGATTGATAAATGTTTGTGGCACTAAAACCGTAGTGTGGAAACAGTTGCCTACCAAATTACTTCTCGGTCGACGCTGTCGAAGGCCTTTTCAAAGTCGATGAAGTTGAGCTAAGGTGAAGAGTAGACTGCTATTCTATGCTCTGTTCTCTGATGATGCGTAGCGTTGCAATTCGGTCCGCACATGATTTGTTCTTCCTGAAGCCAGCCAGCCATCCTGTTCCGGTCGTAATCTCGAATCCAGTGCATCTTTGAGTCTCTCCAGGATGATGCAGCATTTTTTTGGCTTCGGGTGGACAGGGACAGGAGCATGATTCAGCGCCAGCTTTTCAAAGACTTCCTTCGAAGTTTGATAAGGTAGCCTTTCTTCCAATCTGTAGGTGCCTTTCCTTCCCTCCCTCCCTCCCTCCTTCCTTTCTTCCTCCCAAACGTTCTGCAGTAGTGGTGTGAGCATGTCCACTGCTGATATCTCTGCGTCTGTTTTCAGTGCTTCTGGAGAAATACCATCTGGTCCTGATGCTTTCCCGAATTTCAGCAACTTTACGGCGTTCAGGACATCACTATGGCTTTTGTCGGTGGGCTTGTGTTCACTGATAGTCTTGTGGCTAGGCTGCTGGTGGCATTTGTGGACGAGTTGCAGGTGATCGTGGTCATGGTCACGGTGGTTGATTCAAGAGTTTTCTGAAGTGGTCAGCCCACTGTTTCCTTTGTTTACCCTGGTAACTGCAGTGGTAACTAGGTTCCCTTCACTATCCTTCATTGGTTTCATCTGAGTTGATCTCTTATCTCCTAGTCAGCAAGTAACCTGGTCCTTTGATATAGTGCTGCCAAGTCTCTGTCTCTCCTTCCTGCAGCCTGTTCTGCTTCATTTGCCAGTGTGTCGTAGAAGTGTCTCCTGTCTTTGCGCGCACCCTTCTTCACTCCTTTGTCCAGTGTAGTGATTTATATGTTGTGTACAGTTCCTCTTTTCATTGTTTATCCATGCACTGCACTGCTTCATCTTCTGCTTCACCATCTCCCTCTCTTCACTCTATCAACATTCATGCATCTGTAAAGATCCATTCTTTGTCTTTCTTCGGGCAGGTTGCTCAATGTCTCCCATTTATTCCTTATGGCTGACTGACGTGAAGATGTCCTTTACAGTTTCATCCTTCAGTTCAGTTTCTGTGTGTTCTGGGTGGTTGTTGAATTTGAACTGTGGTCACCTATCACCAAATTCTTCTTCGTAGCCTTTCAACTTGATTTTCAAGGTAGGTTGCTTGCACTAGATAGTGAGTGGTGTGAACCACCTACATCTGCTCCCCTTCTTCATCTGATCTTGTATCCAGTAGGCTGCATCTCCACTCTATTCACATTGAAATGAAGTCGACCTGGTTTGTAGTGTGTCCATCCGGTAAAATCCATGTCGCTCGCTTTGTGAATATCCTTGTGTTGATACATACTGCTTCTAATCACCAAATTGTTGAATGCGCAGAAGTCTGCAAACAGTTCCCCATTCTCGTTCATCATTTCACCAAGTGCCTCTCGACCCATGATTAGTTCTCTTCCTGTGTTGTCCGCTCCCAGTTTGGCTGGCATTCCTGTCGCCCATTAGAATTTTAATGTCGCCAACTGGGATCTTGTCTAGTACTGATTGCAGTTGTCTTTAGAATTCCTCCTTCTTCTCCCCATCTGCATTATTTGTAGGTGCATAGTATAGCGTAGCATTGTATGATTGTGACTTTCCATCTTTTTGATTTGAATCTTGCTGTCATGATCCTGATCCTGATCCTGCAGGAGCAGATTGGTTCCCACTGCACGGGAGAGAGCCTTCAACGCTCTTGAATGGGGGACATCATCATAGCCACTCGAGAACTCAGTGTGCTCGTGGTTGTCATATGGGTGACAATGTCTGAGTAGATTAATGACCCTCCCAGTTGACAATTTCGAGAGTCCACTTCCATTCCACCTGCTTTCACATATTCTTAGCACTTCTATGCTATACCTTCTGATCTCTTTTGCAATCTGGGTAGCCTTGCTAGCTTCAAACATTGTGTGGACATTCCATGTCCTCATCCTTACTTTCGCTTTCATCGAGAAAGAGAGAGAAGAGACATCGGCCAATTGGCTTCGGGAAGGCTTGCACCAACCGGCGTCATTTCGTCTCTCCGATTCCAGGGAGGAATAAGTTTGTTTTTATTTCTAATATTTTCTATTTGCTTTGAAATTTCTTTAGCGATTGTATTAGTTTTCTGGGGTAGGGTTGCTAGCCATATGCCCAACCTTCCCTGATTATCGGGCCTTAGGACTGGCTAGTAACTAGTGAAGTAGTTGTCTAGGGGAGGACAGATATACATATATATCACGTGACACAGCAGTAAGATGAGAGGTGAAGAGAAAAATCAGTCAAAAGCAGTAGAAAGCAATGAAAGAGAGGTAGGAGGGATGAGAAAATGCTGAATTCAGTATATTGGCTGAGATGAACACAAAGTGTGGATACATCTGCGTAACTGACATCAACTTTGAGCCATATCATTTAGAATCTCCAACCACCGGTTTCTCTTATGGCGTGGACCCAAACCGGTTAGTTTGCATCTGCTAACATTGCTCAAACTAAGGTAGCAGCTATCGGTCGAGGGAACGGTGATAGGAAAGAAACGAAAGGAAGTAAATGAGCTAGTAAACATGGGGCTGTCATAGAGAGCAACAAAACCAGAGGGAACCCCAACAACATAGGATTCAACAAAATCCTTTAGAAACCATCAAATTATATTTCAAAAAAAAATATTGCAACGAAACCATGAAATGGAAATGTAAAACTTTGGCAGTTCCAATCGATTACTTCAAAGCTTGGGAAGTTTCTTCGAAAATATTTCACATTGCAGTACATGGATGATATGAAACTTCCTTTAGATTTCTGAATTACTTCTGTTGCCAAAATCGTTTGAAACTAACAGTCAGTAAAGTAAAAATGTGAGATACTTTTATGGTGCAAATATCAACTTAGTTTCTGAGATTGGTAATATTCATCATGTGGAACCTGTCAGTTCTGGTGCAGCTACGAAAACCTGTACAATTTCGTGTACTAGGTTGAGTCACACTTTACGTGAGAATTTATTACGTCATTTAATTGCCTAGACCAAAGCAGGTGGAACTGGATCTAAACACCCAGGACTGACTGCTTTTGTGGAATAGAATTACGAATACTCCAATAATATCTAAAAGTAAAATTAATGAAGTATGCATTAAAAGAAGCGTTTCACTGAATGAAGTACATGAAAAATTTCAACATAATTAACTTCGAGAAATCATGAGGCGTAAAGTTTGGTATTTCATGCAAAAGCTGTCAAATCTCTACGATGTACTTACCCCATTCGACCATATGCTTTGCTGTAGTGTGGATCAATTTCTAATGCCTTTAGACAATCACTAATGGCATCCTGGTGATGATCTAACCTAGAATGAGCAGCAGCTCTTTAAATGAAAACGAGAAAAGTGAGATAGAAAACGTTAAAATTATTGAGAAAGGATGTTCAAACTATGAGAAAATACAGATACCTGAAGCATTTCACATGTTGAATCTTATTGACCTCAACGACAAAAAGCAAGGCCTAACCAATTCGGACAGTATATCCGAAATAACACGTACACAGTAAACATGACAAAAGTGCATACACACAAAAAAGACTGGATTTCTTACTCACATTACTTTTCTTATACATTCACCCCCATTCACATCACCTTGAACACATACTAATAAATGACAACAATAACATTTATCCCCATGTTGTTATCAATTTTATGTGCATATATTAACAACGTAATCTGATTTGTTTCCACTTACGTATGGGATAACTTGTACAGGTTTTATTCTCTAAAGAAAGGGTTTCCATGGCGTTGCGAAACATCAGAAACTTATTTTCCTACCTCATTAGGATTACATAACTACACTTGCGTTACAACTATGACTAGTAATAGTTACCACTGCTGAAAGAAAAATAAACAGACAGTGACAAACATTATTCACTTCACTAATCAACTAAAACCTAACCGTCCCACAGAACATAAGAACTAAGCTACAAAATTTCAAAAAAGGTTATTGTTTCCATGAAGTTATGAGGACACGATAATTTTATGCTACCAAAGTAACAGATCAACTTGGAAAGTATCACGAACTAACAAACTATAGCCATTTACTCCTCTTTTGAAATAGTAAAAAGCAATCGATTGTGCCAGAATAATATTTCTATACTAAATATCCGGAAACTGAACTCCAGCTTAATAACTACCCATTTGCAATGATGTGTGATACAAAAAAGAAATGTGCTATAACAAAGGCTGACCTAATTCCAAGTGACTCCGGAGTTTTTCTGATGCTTTTTCCTTACTGACTCTGTGATTTATCCATTTGAGCACTTTCTTTCAACCAATAGATTTGACGACGTAAATTTTCTTTCACTTAACAAGATTTAGATTATTAAATAGCTTTATTCACCCTTACAGGAATATCTTAAAGTGTTTTCGTACTTTTTCTGTAACTTTTGTGTGCAACATTCGCTTGAATCTTCATCTAGTGCTTTTACGAGTTTGATAAAAGGTGTCTTCTGATAACCGGAAAGTTAGCAAACAGCTACTGCGACCAAAACGTTTAGGGCAAAAAGAACTAGGATTACCAGCTATCACGTTACAATCCAGTGCTTGGCACTTTCAACCCGAGTCAATAAGAGAAATCAAAAACAAACAGTCATCTAAGGCAGTTAGTAAGCATTTGTCATTACTTTCACTCTAGACAACCACACACGTTTCCGCTGCACATTCAAACTTGAATCGCACTATATGATTAATCGATTAAAGTCTGAAGTACTGACTCCCAAATTCCAACCTATCGGTTAAGTGGCCAGATGCTCATACTAAAAACAGGAATTCTCATACCTTCGATTGATAAATAGACTTAAAACTTTAAACTATTGTCGTTGTGTAAAAATTTACTTTAAATCTATTGACAATAAACTGGTTCATTATACAATGCATGAAATCATAAAATGAAATACCTACCTACACGAGTAGAAAAGCACTGCTGAGAACTTAACTAAGACATATTTCTTCTCCGATGATGATGACACCAATATTTGTGTTGATGAAACAATACGAAATATTTATGATTTGATGAACCATTCTCTATATAATGTGATGATTGGAACAGAAAAGAATACTGAAGTCACGGTATGATTCGAACCGCCAACTTTCGGGTATTTCTGCACAACTATGGTCCTCGTTTTCATGCCAAGCATTACCCAGTCTCCTCACTACTTAATCTTTCCCAACCAACATACTAAACCACTTCGGTGACGATTATCAATGGTCCAAGTTGTATTTCAACTTACACCAGTAACTTAATTTCAAGACGATCATAAAACGTCACAATCACAGGACTAGTTGCGTTATGGCTACCTTTTCCAATTTTTAAAACCTGTTGCACACTTGATAAACTGGCTGGTTGGGGTTCCCGAAACGAAAGGAATCAGCAGTGGAGGACTCTCGGAGAAATGGCTGGAAATTGGTCACAATGGAGCAGATGTATTCACTCCCTGACATCTTCGCACCAGCCTCTATCTTCAGATTGCTTATTCTCTTACACTACTTAACCCATTTTGAAATCACTTTTTCTATCCACTGTTCTTTGTGTACTGGTATGAAGTGTGGCGACTTGAGCCAATACACCTGCGTACGAAGTTCTACGGTGATTTTGTCAGCGATAAACCTCAGCATATTTGGTTATCCCATTACACTGCAAGTTCCACCTAGTGTATTATATGACAATTAGACCACTGCTTTGAACCACAAAACCAAAACTAACAGTTATTTTTCACATCTTGTTTAGGGTAGAGAGATACAGAATCCTCGTAACCGTTTGAGATACGTATTTTTCTATAAACTTCCTACAGAGTTAATGCTCCAATTATATCTTCAGATTATTAATAATGCTTTTACTCGCCGCACAATAATCATCTTAGAATTGAGCATGAAACAACAAATTCTCTGACGAACCATGTACTACATAATTCCCAGTATACAAGCCACATTTTCATGTCAGTAACAGCTAATTCATATAAATATAACAGCTAATTTGAAGAAGCCTTGGAATGAGTAGGGATGGACCAGATATTACATAGTACAGTCATGTAAACGATGGTAGAAAAATAATTGGTAAGTCGGTTAATATCATTCTGACATAGTGAAAAATTAATAGCATACTATAGAAGAAAGAATTAACGATGGAATAACACCTTTATAAAAACATAAAGTTCACCAAATCACAGTCTGAGTACCTGTTGCAGTAAAAGACAGCATTATACGGTGACAGCTCGATGGCTTTACTGTAGCAAGCTACAGCCTCCTCAAACTTCTCTTTTTCATGCACTGGTTACCTGTAAGAATAGTTTAAGGACAATAGTAGTCATACCTTGATTTTTTAGTGCTTCAGCCATTGACTTAGCTTCTTCTGTAGGTTCGGTTTTAACAGCATTGGTTTTTTTCTGTGATAATTATTTAAAAGATAAAACAATACCTGTGGCTGGTATTCAAACAATGCTTGCAAGTCCGGGACTTCACCAGCTTCATTTTCAGGTAAATGAAAAGCGGTTTCGATACATTGCTTTGCAACTATACAGAAGTTATTTGCGGAAATATTATGAAGTTATATATGTTAGATGTGTTAGAAAGATGAATATGTTAGGGAAAAAAGCATCTAACCCACTTTGTATTCACCAAATCAACGCGAACTTATAATAAATCACGTTGCATCACAAGTTTTACAGTCGTACTTGTTACCCTACCACTACTTAATAACCTGTCGAAACAGCATGGCAATAAGTGCTTTTAACCCTAATTGACGCGAACAGACATTCTGAAAATACATCATTTTAATCATAGTATTTAGAAAGAAAAGGCCAAGTTTTCTCGGGATCCTAAATATCTACCTAAAAACACCTCATAATAACACTATCACATTACTCTCTAGTCCACATCACTTCCCCAAGTTTACTGCTTCCAGGGATAACAGATCAAACTCATTTTCTAGTGCATTCCATTTCTCATTTTGACCAGTTTTGAGCATTTGGCACACGAGACACTTCTGTTTATCAGAGAATAGGTTGATTGTATCACGCGAAATATAACCGAGAGAAATGTCGCACATTACGTTGTAAAACATTTGGGAGTGATTTTACAAAAGAAAAAAATATGAAATTCAAGCACTGTCGCAATCTAATATCTCAATGCACACTTCATGTTCTCATCTTTTAGTCAAACACACAGAGATCTGACTGTAAGGCATTAAACAAACACGCATCTGTAATCACGCGTTATCGCAGTGCAAACAGAAACGTAGAGGGCAGCAACTTCCCAACAATCCACATCGGCAATGGCTTACAAAATGATATGTACATCTCCACTGTTGTTCTGATATTGGCAGATGTTAAGTAAGTCTCTTCTTATGCTTGGAACTAGTGCTGGCCAGAAACAAGTGACTGTTAGAATGGAGTTGTAAAAGACCATCACTATCAGTTCACCGGTATGGAATACCGTAGTTGCCTCCAGAGTCCCTTTCCGAACGGCCCAGTGTCCCTACTTGGACGTTGAAGTCACTTTCGATAACAACTACACCTGAACGCTTGACTTTAGGTGGCGAAATTGACAGCTTTTGGTAGCATTCACTCAACCTTTACATCATCTGAACTGCAATCAGTGAGCACGTAAGTCAAGGAAACAAACAGGTACCGATGAGTGTAAGTCCTTTCCAGTTTTTACAGATCCATTTAGTCGGACACTACACAGACAGCTGTTCACTTTCATTCATTCCATAAGTGGGCTTTCTGTTTTGCAACTTACCCACACCAATCAGTTTATAACAGCTGGTCATTAAATCTATGGACACTCGTTAGGAGCGAGTTTTCCAAATTCACCGCATCAGTAACGCAAGGACAAGTTTATAGCCAAACTTCAGTCTTGTGCGTCCGTCTCACGAATACAGAAGGTATCCATGGCTTGAGATCCCAGTTGTGGCAGGGATGCCTGTTATCCAACTTGGCATAGGGTTAGGATGTTGAAAGCTTTAATGTGGCATCAACAGCATGATTTCCAGGGACTTGAAATAGTGTTTCACTGGCTTAGATGGTCATCAACGACTAGTTTTAAGAAGTTGAGAAAACTACAAGTGACAAATGTGGTATCAGGAAGTGAAGGCAAAAGAGGAGACTGAAAATAAAGGCAGACTATGGCTTGTATGCCGCTGGAAATGTTGTTGGTCGGCGTATTGAGGCGGTCCTCTGCGAAGCTCATATCTTCATTAGGTGCCTGAATGAGAAAACGGGTTAGTCGTTTGATCTCAAAGTTCAGTGAACATCTGCTTGAGACCAGCCTCGCAGCAATTTTAAGCGTTATGAATTTAGTTGAGTTAGGCTGCTTTTAATCACCTGTAAACTTATTAAATCCGACTAAATAGTACACGTTTCTTAGGATGCAATTCACTCAGACACAACATGCAAGATCTGTGTTTATCTACAATTTGGCAAGTCGGCAATTGGGTGCATTGACTATGCAGCATTGAAGATTAAGATGTTTAGACCAGTAGGGAAAGTGAGAAATTGCCCTTCAAATGACTTTACATTCACGACTTTGAATTTCAGTACCACAGTTTACGAAGTATGGAGTAACTGCGTTCCTGAAATAACTTCGAGAAATCAACAAATGAAAGGCTTCCAACCATACCAACCAGTTTACTGAGAATAAGTATATATATATATATATATATATATATATATATATATATATATATATATATATATATACATATATATATATATATAATGATTTCCATTGTGTTGTTCCTGATTAGACACCCATAAAATAAGATACCAACATGGAAGGTCCACATCGTTACCAACAAACCAACTTTCAATATGACAAATGCTTCATTTCGATTCATATTGCAAGATATTTCTAACAACTCTGGATACCTTTGGAGCCGATTTGCATATTGTTCAACTGCTTAGACAACTGAAAATGGCCATGTTTATTTGCTTTTGCTGACTTACATTTTCCATGATGGCGGTATGATACTTGAATCCTTATTAAAGGCTTGCTGTATTGTGCGACAGTTCGCTCCATCCTAACATAGACAAACAGAATGGGTACGTCAGTTGGTAAGGGTATAAATCTGCACCCACTCAACTGTCAGGGGCATGTTATGCATGGCTAGTCACCGCCTGCCCCACCGCATGTTGTTAGCCAAAGTGGGTTTTGGCTGAGAAGAGGATGAGTGGGCGGATTAAAACAGCATCAGTCTACGAAGTCTGAATTCTGATTTGAACCACGTATGGAAATGGATACTTGCCAGATGGAGAAAAATGACAACCGAAACCTGCAACCCCAGACCGCATGACTTAGTTAGAAATAGACCTCAATGATGCAGATGCATCCACCCACACTACCTTCCTTCTGATTGTTAACATTCCCTCGTTTGCCTAACCCAACATGTCCGATTTTTTATTCCTTTATTCCGGTGACTTGTATTCTGTGCAGGTGAGAAATATGTCAATTTAGACTTTTATGCAGTACTGTCAGATTCTACGCTGATACCGGTTAACTAGTTGTGAGTTGGGAGCTATACTCATCAAGTGGTGTCCGTCAAGCATGCCCACTATCTCCATTCTTATTTAATTTTATCCTAGATATTCTTATGGAGGTTTCCCTCTCGTCACCTAATTACACAAACGTTGACCCAATCACAGGTGAATTTTCTTTAGATCTAGAATATGCAGATGACATAGTCCTGTTAGGTGAAACGCTGATAAGATGCAGAGTCTTCTGAACACTTTCAGTGGGAATTTGAGAATGTTTGGGATGCGATTCTCACCACCCAAATGGAAATTTTTGCTCCAGGACTGGTCTTCAGCGGTACCGCGGCTAACAATAGAGAGTGAAGTGGTTGAGTGTGTTGACCACTTCACTTACCTGGGAAGTAGGATCAGCCGTGGTGGCTCAGTGGTCGGTGGGATCTCTGCACAGATACAAAAGGCTCGATTGGCTTCTGCCAATTTGCGCCGCCTATGGTGCCGCCGTGATACCCAATTGTCTAATAAGGGCCGCGTGCACTGCACAACAGTCCGCTCTGTTCTACTGTATGACTGTGAAACATGGCCATTGAAAGTGGAAGATATAAAAAGGCTTCAGGTGTTTGACCACCGTTACCTTCGTAGTATAGGCCGTATTCCGTGGTGTCACTATGTGAGTATTGCAGAAGTTAGGTGTAGAGTTTTGGAGAGAAGAGGTAAGTCAGTCGACGAGGTTGTGAACCTTCATCGACTGAGATGGTTGGGACACGTACTACGTATGCCTAGTCACCGATTGCCTCGTCACACAATGTTGGCCACACTAAAATATGGCACCAATGTATGAAGTCTCTGACTGTTGGTCTAAGCCATGTAGGACGATGCAGACTAGGTGGTTGGGGTCCACGGGACAAGAGGAACCAGTGGTTGGAGACCCTAGGTGATATGGCTCAGAACCGACGTCAGTGGCGCAGATGTATACACACATTATCCTCATCTTAACAACGTTATACCGAATCTCACTATTTTGTCACTCCTCTTTCCTTTCTTCTCGTACTTTATATTTCTTTTGACTGCATTCACTTATCTTCATCCTTCACCTCACTACCTTTTTACTTGATGTGCTGATATGAGGTATGGCAACTCGGACCGTTACGCAGTAATGCCTGGTCCTATGTTGATAATGATGATGATGAATGAAAATGCAACCACTTAGATAAACAAACAAAACTTAGATTTAGTGGGACATGAATCGCAACCAAGCAGCGGGAAATCCGGATTCTCATTTGTTGGTAGGCTGAATGCAAAGGGATAGAGGGCAACCAAAGTTAACAGCCCCCTTATTAGTTACAGTTGCAGCATTTGAACGGATTCTCCAGTGCAATTAAGTTGTTACCAAGCTACACGTATGGAATTAGAGGCACCCACAAAGACATAGAAGAAAGTGACGAGATCCCAAATCAATTTTTTTCCTATCAGCTTCGCTGAAATTTGTCTACAGCTAAAATGTATTCCCAACATCTTTTCCTAAAAAATGCTACGCACTAAACATTTTGACGAAACCAAGCTGGAACAATGTAGGACACAGCAGCCAGACAGTGAACTCAGTTGCACATAGTACTTATTGACCAATGATTTCGAGGACCAGGACACAAAGCATTGGTTTACGTGCTGGGTTGCTAAACAGAGAACGCACATTAGGTGATGCTTACCCCGTGGTTCCTGGTTTGACCCAGCAGAACCATTGGCCATAGAGCACCTAACAAAATAAGTGGCTTCAATAAAGGGGTATTCTACCCTGGGATAGATGCAGGAAGATATGAATCGGAATGTACTCCGCGGAAGTAAGCTACAACCGCTCCTGAAAGTATATATTAACCGACCTGGTACCAAACTATATGAACGATACAGGCTGTGATCTTGTTACATCAGACAGAATTTTAAACTGAGGACTATAAATGAGTGGAAATACCACTTTCAAGGACTAATCAGAAAAACGCGCATGAACTCATTCCTGCTGTTTGCATCCTGCTGCTGGGATGAAGTCATATAATATTACCTTCAAGGCTTTCCGTAACCTCCGAAGAATAAAGATTAGAAGTTATTTCCTTGTCAATGAAGCGGGCAATAGATCTATATATCTTCTTTTTGTCAGCCATCTGAACACCTCACTTCGTGGTAGCGTAATTATTTGTGTTCACCTCAACAGCCTGCTTAGGTCAGTATCTATTTTACTTCATCCTATTTCGGGCAGTAACGAAATTGGTTAAACAAATGTTCAGAGATAATTCTCACTCAAATCATAAAAAGTCTGTGAAACACTTGAGCTTTTTTTGATGTAACGTCGACCTGATACCTGAAGACTGGCGCACTTTGAAAACGGGATAGATGTGCAGCTTTTGTCACGGCCTAATATCAATTCTCACCAAGGACATGACTGGGTCAGTGATAATAAAGGAGTTCCCATTTAGTATGGGAGAAGCTTCAGAGAGTGCAGCCAGCGTCCTCGAGACAGGATGAAGTGAAAAATTAGAAATTAAGCAAGATGATAGTTAGTTGGATACATTTGTTCGCAAGACACAAAATCGTCGTAGGAGTAAGATTCAAACGACCAGCCGCTTGAAACCCTGAAACGAAACTGGCAGTAGTGGTTAGATTGTCACAGAACGACTGCGTGTAAACTTTAAAGTGCTAAGGTAACAACCATTTGGTTAGTTTTCGACCGCTGCCAAAACGAGGCTCAGGGATACTCACCTGACATCTACAGTCGCCCTCAGAAATGCTGGAGAACTGGGGAGTGTAGACCACTCTGCGCACCATCTCAATGAACTGCACTTACTTCAGCGCATCGCTTAGCACATCTTGCCAGAAACATTACTTGAAGTGCATATCTAAGGGGGTTAGACTGTGCGAAGAGGATAAAAAAACCCGACATATGGAGACTCTTGGCGATAGTATTAACTAACGAGGGGGAGATGTAAACTAACTTGAGCAACGTGTAAAAGGTGTGTGCCTTAAATATCCTCATTCATTCTAACTGGCCTCTGAAGGACAGGATGAAGAAATGGGTGGCCCTAACTAAACCAAAGGCTCAGATGCAGAAAGGAGCAAAGAATATATGACTTGTCGGTTCCTGGGTAGTGAGGCTTCGTGGGAGGAGGTCTCTTTTATCCGGGCAAGCAGCCTTATACCCTATACCCATATACTAATCCCCCCCCGGGACTACATGTTAAGGAGATAGGGACGCGAGTTTCAGTCGACATAGTAAGACCTAACTTAGTTTCTGTGACATTAACATGGCTCATAAGAGATACGAATCCGACTCCTGTCGTCTATAGACGCTTTTGCATCAGGGCTGAAGGAACACTTAGTCGTAGGGGTGGGGGATTTCCGTCGGTCACCCGCGAGTACTGGGATAAGGTGACGTAGTGTCACATACATTTTCAGAATCAATAGCCTAGGGTTTGACAAGGCTCAACGCTGATGCTGACTTTCATAGTTTTATCGGGCTCGCTAAGCTGAAGCCACACGTTCAAGCATCCGGGCCACCTGGTACACCGTCAGGGTGGTCTTCCAGCCTTCGAGCTACCTTAGGCGTGGAGAAACCCCCAGCCTTGATGGTTCGGAACAAAGGAGATGATCGCTAAGTAGCGGGCCGAATTCTTCAGTCAGTCCCTATACCAGGCTCTGCTTCACAGAGCAGAAAAATGCTATAATCAACCTGATTTTCACGAAAGGCAGCAGGTAAGTAGCATACAATTATCACCCCGTTGGGTTAGCTGGTACAGCTTCGAAAGTATTCAAGATTTCCAGGGATAGAGTAAAAGGCATGTTGAAAACCACCATATTTTCGCATCACTACAAAGTGGGTTTCGCACCAGTCGCTCCTATTTAATGAACGTCTTCATGGCGAAGGATGAATGGGTAGCGGCTCGTAACAACAAGACGCTCAATGTGCTCACCGACACAGCTTTCAGGCAGAAATGATGAAGAAGCTCCCAAATGTTGGTGGTAACACTGCGACGCTGGCCTGGACTGGAGAGTCGCCCTGTGATAGGAGACCAGTGAGAGTGAGTGGAACACTAAGTGGCAACCTGTGTCGGGCGGGTCTCACAGGACACAGTCTTACGTTTTCTCTTTTTCGTTCTATTATTACGAACCGCCATCAATTATTAAGCCATTGGCGGTATTATTTATCGAAGGCGTGAAGGGTGGAGATTTTTCCGCGATTACGACGACAGATAAATGATTGAACGATAACGATAAATATCGTAACCTCCAATAATGAATTCAATATAGGAGAAGCTGATTTACAGACATCATCAACTTGACAACTGGTGAAAAATCTACGACATTTAAGTTGTCCTTAAGGGTAAACAAAAGAAGACATTAAGCTCTATCACAATATCAAAGGAGTTTGCAAGCTATGAAACGAACAAAGTGTGTCGCTTATCAGTACACACTCAGTGCCTATGAGTTTAGATTGTTTTCAGCCACTTTTACACCTGCGGGCGGCATCGAGGTCTCGCAATATTCTATGTTCGTGTCACAGACAGCCGACGTATTCAACTTGTCTGCACGGATGGATGTTACGCCAAATGAGGGTCTATGTTAACATCGATTCATGTTTTTATAGCTTCAGCGACCCAAAGGAACTTACATCAAAGTTTTCAGAGATTGTTAGGTGTCCGTAGAATCATGTAACCCAACAGAATACCTGTGTTCAAGCATTTTCCGTCCTTTAAGTGTCACCGCTCACAGCAGCGCAGGTTGACGCCATAAGAAATAGTTTTTGTGGTGCAAAGAACGAAGCGTCTGAAGAAATGTAGCCCGATGACAGCGGGTTTTACATATTATTCAGGTCAAAGTGCGCAGCATCATCTTCGAGATATATTCTCCGTTAGATGAAGTACCGGAGAAATCTGTTGTGTAGCACTGTCTAGAATACGTGTAGAGGTACATTACAAAATTATTTATTATTATTAGTCCCTTGGGTTCCTAGTGGAACATAGGGCTTCAGTAGCACGCCTCCAGTGACCTCTGTTCTCTGAGATCTTTTGAACCTGGCTCCAAGACAGCCCACAAGCTCTCATTTCCTCCTCGCATGACCTCCTCCATGTCACCCTTGGACGACCAACTCGTCGCTTCCCATGCGGATTCCACTCGAGCAACTGGCCTGACGCGTGGTGTCCCCAGTCGGCCTTCTCAGTGTATGCCCAATCCATCTCCACTTCTTCCTGCATTTGTTGCGTGATAGGTTCTTGGTTGGTTCGTTATCAGGCCAGAGCTCCTTGTTGCTTATTCTTTCTGGCCATCTGATCTTCAGTAGCGAGCCAGCGTAGGCAGTTGTTGATGAATGTCTGTAGTTTATTGGAAATCCCTTTCGTAACGCGCCAAGTCTCTGAGCCATACAAGAGCACTGACTTGACGTTGGTGTTGAAAATCCGTATCTTGTTCCGCATGCTGAGTGCAGAAGATCTCCACACTGGTTTCAGGCTAATGAACACCTGTCTTGCCTTTCCGATTCTCACTTTGACGTCCTCGTCCGTCCCGCCTGTAGTTGAAACAGTGCTGCCTAGATAGATGAAGGAGGTTACTTCCTTCAAGTTTCTCCCGTTGACGGTGATTGGAGTTTGTTGTTGTTGTTGATGGTGGTGGTGCGGTATCTTCATCACTTCTGTCTTCTCTATATTCACCTGAAGTCCCGTCTTCGCTGCCTCTTCTATCAACTTGTTAGTTTTTGCCTGCAGATCTTCATGTTTATGTGACATTAGGCATAAGTCATCGGCGAAATCCAAGTCTTCTAGGTTCTTTTCCGTCGTCCAGTGTATCCCCTCTTCTCGCTGCCTACTGTTTGCTGCATGATCCAGTCCACCACAATAAGGAATATCATGGGGGATAGTAGGCAACCTTGTTTCACTCCTGTCTTCACTTCAAAGGCATCGCTGAGCTTCCCATTGTGGATTACTTGGCATGTGGTGTCTTCATATAGTTGTTGAATGAGGCGGATAAAGGTTTGCGGTATTCCGTAGTAATGAAGCAGTTTCCAAATTACCTCTCGGTCGACGCTGTCAAACGCCTTCTCAAAGTCGATGAAGTTGAGGTGAGGTAGAGGGCTGATTGCCATTCTATACTCTGTTCTATGATGATGCGAAGCGTTGCAATTTGGTCGGCACATGATTTGTACTTCCTGAAGCCTGCCTGTTCCGGTCGTAGTTTTGAATCCTGTGCGTCTTTAAGCCTCTCCAGGATGATGCGGCTTAATATTTTACTTGGGGTGGATAGGAGAGTGATTCCTCGCCAGTTCTTGCAAACACTGAGGTCTTCTTTCTTCGGCAGTTTGACAAGGTAACCCTTCCTCCAATCACTAGCCAGGTACCTTCTCTTCCTTCCACACCTTCTGCAATAGTGGTGTGGTGTGAGCATGGCCGCTGTTGTCTCTGCATCTGTTTTCAGTGCTTCTGGCGGTATTCCATCTGGTCCTGCTGCCTTCCCGCATCTCAGTAGCTTTATGGCGTTCAGGACTTCCATTCTCGTTGGGGGATTAATGTCCACTTGTAATTCAGCGGCTGCGGGTGGTATTTCTGGACGAAGTGCAGGTGGTGGTTGATTCAAGAGCTTCTTGAAGTGGTCGGCCCATTGTTTCCTTTGTTTCTCTCCCTTCGTAATTAAATTTCCGTCATCATCTCTTATTGGTTTCGTCTGCGTTGATCTCTTCCCAGACAGCAAGTAACCTGGTTATTTGATACAATGTTGTCAGGTCTCTTTCTCTCCTACCTGCAGCCCGTTCTGCTTCACTTGCCAGTGTTTCGTAGAAGTGTCTTTTGTCTTTCCGTGCACTCTTCTTCACTTAACTGTCCAGTGTAGTGTTTTATACATTGTGCTCAGTTCCTTTTGTCGTTGAGCATCCTTGTACTGGTTCATCTTCTGCTTCACCATCCTCCTCTCCCTTCTCTATCAGCTTCCATGCAGCCGTCGAGATCCATTCCTCGTCTTCTTTCTTCTTCCTTCCTAATGCGGCTATGCAGGTTTCTTTCCACATCTCTTTCAAAGACTTCCAGTGTTCTTCAACACAGGTTTCTTCAAGGATGTTCCTCGATATCTCCCATTTTGTCTTGATGGCTGCCGTGAAGATGTCCTTTGTAGTTTCATCCTTCAG